GGAGCGCTGCCGCGCTTCCCAAGCGGCGCACTGTAGCAGTGCGCCACCGGGCCGGCCCCGACAATAAAGTTTTGATAGACCCACTAAGGTACGAAAATCAAGCCTGACTGTTTCTTCAATTGTAGAAAGATTTTCTATGTGTTTGTCTTAAATTTTAAGAGATTATCAGGATTACATCTCAAACACTGAGCCCTTAAAAACAAAAAGACACCAACTGCTCAGACTCACATCGAAGGGCTGGTGAATTCCCTTGGCAACAGCCTGGTACAGAGGACTGGTGGCATTGCTGCCCCTCTTGACATGTGGCCCAGCACCGAGGACATGCTGAAGAACACTGAATGCGTTTGCTTCTGCACTTCCTGTGGCGGCACTTTCTGCTACAAGAGCGGCGTGGACAAGACTGTCTCCATTCTGTTCTCGAATTTCACCTGGGGCACATACAGAGAGAGTGAAGAAGAAAACAGCTTGGTCACCATTGGTTTTATTCTTCAGTATTCCCCATAGCACAGTATTATCCCACTAAGATTAAGCTCTTCTGTGGCTCTGTGCTTTCTCCATGCCATCCTGCCCCCTCCACCCCCACAAAACATGTTTAATATGTAACACTCAAGCCATCTAATTCTTTCCTTCCAGGTTGAAACTGTTTGGTAGTAAGTAATCAGGCCTATTCCACCCCAACATGGTATTAAGGGGAGAAATGTCCTTCTGATAAATTTGTCCTAGTAGAACAAAATGCTTACCTCCACGGTATCTGGACTTTGCACCAGATAATCCAAGCCCACCCCTCATGTTGAGAAATTGTTCAGCAACTTGCTTTAGAACAGGATGACTCACACCTGTTTCAACAGAAGCAAAAACAAAGCTAGAAACAGCATGTCAAATCACAATTATAAAATATCTAGTGTTTTTCCTTGTTTTAAAAATAATGTATGATTATAAAATACCAACATTACAGAAATAAATAGTAAAAACCACTTATAGTTTACTATTAATAAACTACTCACTACATATTATTTACTATTAGTATTCATCGACAATTTTTTTCCTTGTAGTTATTACTCTCATTTTATTTTTAAAATGGTATCATTCTATTGATACTGTTTCTAACTTGTCTCTTGTAATTTGCATCTTTCTAAATGACTGGTGTACATTAAACATTTAATGGTTATAAAGAATTACATTCTACGGATATCCTATCATTTATTAATCAATTTCTTCTTGATGGACATTAGAATGTTTCTAAGAGTTGATTAAGGAAAACAATATTGCACTGTGTATAAGAGGACACTGTCAGGAAAGTGAAAACACAACCCATGGAATGGAAAAAAAAATATCTGCAAACCATGTATTCATAAGGGTCAAGTACACATAAATACAGGCAGAACCCTTATAACTCAACAATAAAAAACCAAACAACCTGATTAAAAAATGGGCAAGGACTTGAACAGACATTTTTCCAAAGAAGTTTCACAAACGGCCAAAGAGCACATGAAAAGATGTTCAGTGTCATTTGTCATCACAGAAATGCAAATCAAAACCACAATGACCACTCATACCCACTAGAATGGCCAAAATCAAAAAGCCAGTAACAGGCTGGCTGGTTAGCTCAGCTGGTTACAGTGTGGTGTTATAACATCAAGGCCAAGGGTTTGGATCCCCATACCAGTCAGCCGCCAAAAACAAAACAAAGACAGACAGTGAGTGTTGGAGAGGATGTGGAGAAATCGGAACGCTTGTGCACTGCTGGTGGAAATTTAAAAACGGTGCAATCACTTTGGAAAATAGTCTGGCGGTTACTCAAACGGTTAAAAAGAAAGTCCTACCCCTAGGTATATATCTCAAAAGACTTGAAAACAGGTGTTCTAAAAAAACTTACACATGAATGATTATATTCACAATATAAAAGTGGAATCGAACCCAAATGTCAATGAATGAATAAAGAACATGTGGTAATAAAATATTTTTCAGCCATAAGGGGGAATGAAACATGCTACAATATGGATGAACCTTGAAAACATTATGCTAAGTGAAAAAAGTCAGTTACAAAAGGCCACATATTGTATGAGTCCATTTATATGAAATGTCCATAGTAGTCGAATCTATAGAGAGAGAGATTTGTGGATGCCAGAGGAAGGGGAAAGATTAGAATGCAGAGTGACTGCTAATGGGTATGGGTATCTTTGGGGATTAGGAAAATGTTTTGAAATTAGATAGTGGTAATAGCTGCAAGACTTTCTGAATATATTAAAAACCACAGAATTGTAAACTTTAAAAGGGTGAATTTTATGGCATGTGATTTTAAAAAACAAACAAAATAACAACAGTGCAGACAATATTCTCCTGTAAATATTTTATAAACTTGACCAGGTGTTTCTGCAGGACAAATTCTTAAAAGTAATACTGCTGGGTCTAAGAGTATAAACATTTATAGTTTTAACAGATATATTCAAATCAACTTCCACAACTGTTGTACCAATTTATATTCCTACCCAACAATTTTCGAGAGTGCCTATTTCTCCATACCTGGTTAATACTGGGCAGTGTCAATCTTTCAATACTTGCCAATCTTACACATTAAGATTTTCTTAATTATTAGTGAGTCAGATCATTTTCTTTTTTTTTTTTGATGGTTGGCTGGCATGGGGATCCGAATGCTTGACCTCGGTGTTGTAACGCTGTGCTAACCAACTGAGCTAACTGGCCAGCCCCTGTCTGACCATCTTTTAAAATAATTGAGAAAACAAGCATAATCGGATACATAAATACATACATACATATATATTTCCCCCATGAACTGTCTGCTTTTGCCCTTTGCCTATTTTTCTATTAAGTTGTACTTCTTAAAACAGTTTATAAAAGATCTTTGCTTAGAGAAACTTCCTCTTGTCACAGGTTTTGCAAATACTGTAAAGAAGTTGATACAAGTAGATTACAAAGTTAAATGCCAGATTCTGCTTTCCAAAATAAATGACTAGTAAGTAAAATTCTGTCATATATTGCCTGTCTGACATTAATAGAAGACCAACCCTATGTTCACACAGTTTAAGGGACTACTCTTTTTTTCTTTTGGTGGCTGGTTGGTAAGGGGATCCAAACCTTTGACCTTGGTGTTTTCAGCCCATGCTCTAACCAACTGAGCTAACTGGCCAACCCAAGGTACTACTCCCAAGGAAGCAAACTGATGTGTAAGCAATTCCCAACTTACCAAGTCCAACCAAAGCCATTCTTGCACTTGTAAAATGGTTCTGAACATAGTAATGTAACTGAAAAAGTTAAAAACACTTATGAGGTTATATTAGTATAAATACAAAAACCCATAAAAACATAAAAGTGCAGTTCAGCAGAAAATAAATTCTCAGGCTTAAAAAAGCTGCTATAATGAACTATAAGGGACTAACTAGTGTTAAAAACACTTATGAGGTTATATTAGTATAAATACAAAAACCCATAAAAACATAAAAGTGCAATTCAGCAGAAAATAAATTCTCAGGCTTAAAAAAGCTGCTATAATGAACTATAAGGGACTAACTAGTGCCAAAATACACAGGGATTTTATTATGAAAACTATTGCTTAAGAGAACTAGAAGTTAATTGTGGTCATGGCTGCACAATTTTGTGAACGTAATGAAAACCACTGAATTGTGCACTTTAAATGGATGGTATGGTATGTGAATTACATCTGAATAAATAAATGATTAAAAAAAGGAATCAAAAGAAATTTGTGCCACGCAGCCTGAACTTGATATAACAGGACTAAGTTTATGACTTTTATTATGGTGAGGTTTAAGCAGTACATAAGGTTTCTTTGGTCTTTATACAGGTGATTATAAAGCACTTGTAACATTCTGCTGTAGGGCTAATATAGAGTTATATCACTATACCTCTCTCTCCCATCTTTGAAGCCAATCTCTACAAAGTTTTTCCTGCCATCTCTCTATAACAGGTTTTCCCACCTGGATGATCATAGAATTACCTGGGGAGCTTAAAAAACAAAATCAAACACTATTACTGTTCCCCATTCCCGGGACCCATCCTACAGAGTATGAGGAAAGAAGGTGACAGTGTTGAGAATCACTGGATTAAAGCATTGAGACTGAACTTTTAATCAATTTATCAGAAACCTGTGCCCTAAAATGAATGGTGTCTACATTTACGGAGTCACCTTGGAAAATATTATTTTCTTTGCATTGATGTTTTTCTATTGATTCTGCCATTCCTTATTGTATTCTAGCACCAATTTCTTTGGAATTTCCTTTAGCCAAGGGACATGTTTAAAAAATACTAGTAAGTGTTGAGAATCACTGGATTAAAGCATTGAGACTGAACTTTTAATCAATTTATCAGAAACCCGTGCCCTAAAATGAATGGTGTCTACATTTACGGAGTCACCTTGGAAAATATTATTTTCTTTGCATTGATGTTTTTCTATTGATTCTGCCATTCCTTAATGTATTCTAGCACCAATTTCTTTGGAATTTCCTTTAGCCAAGGGACATGTTTAAAAAATACTAGTGACTTTGAGATAACCAAGTTATCACGGTTAACATAGTATTTGTCTGTGATACACATATACTTATTTAAAAAAATAGGACATCTTGGTATATCCTAATTCATAAATTACCTTTTCTTTACTTGACAATATACTATGGAATTTCTATGTATCAATTAATATTTCTGAAGTTAGGTAGTGTTCCATTCTACAGATTTTTTTTTTTTGTGGCTGGCTGTTTTGGGGATCTGAACCTGTGACCTTGGGGTCATAAGGCTGTGCTCTAACCAGCTGAACTAACCGGCCAGCCCCTCTACAAATATTTAGTAAGTTATTTAACTAGCCCCCTAATGCTGGATATTAACTTGTTTCTAATTTTTTACAATTATAAAACAATGCTACAATAGACATCCTTGTAGATAAATGTTTTGCTATGTGCATTCTTTTAGCTACTTCAATGACACATCTTCATGAGAATGGATTTGATTTCTGAAAGATTTAAAACCTCATCATGAAAAACTCTTATGAAAAATGTTGCCTGTTCCAACTGGATGATATGAGTTATGATTTTTAAATAAAAATGCCATATGAATGGTAGGCATTAAATTATTGATTGATAAGTCAAAAGAAATACAGTTTAGTTTTCTGTAGTGGCTAACCAGAAATAAAATGAGACTGAAAACCTTAATTTCCAAGTCACATATACTTTGAAAGTGTTGATAATTCCAAATTTTTCTCTAAATGTCTTTTGATAAAACTGCTTTTGGAGGGGCTGGGTGGTAGGAATAGTAAATTAAGATTATATGCATGTATCTACCCTTGCAGATTTAACATTTAGTGTTTCATGTTTTGGAAACAAAGTTCTATGGTATACATACGGCTGTGACATGTGTAAAATGAGGCTGGTGTGCTGGAGAATGGAATAAGCAAGTGAGTGGGCTGATGGTGGAACAGGGGGTAAGAAAGCGGGATTTATTCTTAACTATCTATTCAGAGGGACTAAAGATTTTTGGACAAAGAATTTAGTATGATATTTAAAAATTTACATGCTATTTTTAAAAGATACAAATACACAGAAAAGGGTCTGGAAGAAAATACACCAGGTATTAACATTGAGTGCCTTTAGGTATGTAACATGTTTTCTTTTCCTTTATTTTGCTTCTCTTTATTTCGATTTTTCTGTAATGATCACATCCCTTTTATCATAAAACTTTTTTTTTGTTGTTGAAACATACAAAAAACTGTTCAGACAGAATTTTAGTTAAAAAGCAAGCTGATGGGAAAAAATTCAAGCAAGCTGAATTTCTTAATATCGGAAAATAAAAAGAAAAATGATCAATCAAACCTGAAATGACAGATGAACGTTCAACTTAAAGTAAAAACAAACACATTTTAAAATGTAACGTGTCTTGTTGGTTACCTCCTCTGATGTCACTTTTCCAATCCTATAGTCAGGGCAATACAAGGAATTAGCCAAGGCATTTCGGTAAGCTGCAGCATGTAAATTTTCAATGACATCTGTAAAATAAGTAAAGAAGCAGTTACTGAGATGTAATTCAAGTAATGATAACATTTTTAAAACCTGGAAAGCAACAAGTCTATAATTTGGTCATCTATGGCATTCAAGTATTAAGAGGACTCGAAATTTATTATCTTTAAGCTCTAGCAACTTTAAAAATTCTGCCAGGTGAATGTGCTGAGAAAAATAAGAGATTATATGGCAGCAGCTTCTACATGCTGGAGTCCATGTGAATACCTCTCTAACTTTAATCTGCTTGGTATCTTCTGGAAAGTATAATGGCCTCGGTTTCGAGAAGTCTGAATCTGGTTATGGTTCTGCCACCAAAATGCCATGTGACTTTGGAGAAGTCATTTAATCTGCATTTTACTTACTTGTAGGTTCCCTCTCTAGGTGATGAGGGAGTTGTCAGGATAAGAAGAGATATGACAGTGTCAGTTTTAAGTCACATCACTAGCTTTCATGGGTCAAGTGCCACTGGCAGACAGGACTTACTTCTCACTCGTGCCCTGACACTGTCCCTGCCTTCCTGCTTGAGTGCCTTTGCCCGAGGTGTGTTTCCTTTACTTGCTCATTATTTGGGCAACCTCCCTATGCCAGGCACTGTAAATACAGAGATGAGTAAGATATAATACCTGCCCTCAAAAAAGAGGAAAAATCATGAAATAAAGTATTGTGGGTGCAGTGTCAGCAGTGTGTCAAAAGTGCAGCAGGGGCTCAAGGGAAGAGCCGTGGAAACTGAAAAGGGTAATGGAGGTAAAATCCGGGACATGACTTGAAGAATGAGGAGGCATTTCCCAAATGAGTGAGTTGGGAGCAGCAGTTCAGGCAGAGGAAACAGACAAGGCAAAAACATAATGCGTGACGACAGTCTGACTGAAAGGGGGCTCGCAGCTGGGAGGAAAAAAGAGTGAAGCAAGAAAAAGGAGGAGTGGGCTGGAGTCAGATCATGAAAGACCATGCATGGTAAGCTAAAGAGTTTGGATTTTATCCTATAGACAATTAGAAGCCTTTAGAGGATTTTCATGTCAGAAGGGTCACTGTAATGGCAATATGGCAGACAGACTGAAGATGTGAACCCAGAGGCAGAGACAGCAGCCAGGACACCGTCTAGTAACTGTTCAGGCAGAAGGAATGAGGGTTGGAGCCTTATTGCTACCAGTGGGGAAGAAGCCACCAGGGACACACAAGTCATCTTTTCTACAATTTTACCATTCAATCTATTTCTTTGGTAGAAGTCCTGAACAATAAAGATCTCACTCCTTTGTGACACAAAGTGTCACCAAGACATAACATTAGCAACACGAACCAAGCACTAAGTTCCTGACACTGGACAGGGGACCCTTTCTCAACAGGCCTGCATTCTGAAGCAACCCCGTCCCAGGCCAAGCCCCTGCAAGGTCATCTGTTTCTGGTCTACCTGCACCTTTCTGTTCCCACTAGAAGTTGTAAGACTTCCGAGAGTCAGCAGTGCTTGTTTACAGATTTTTTTGCCAGTGTACTTCTCAAGATTTTATAAATATTACATAAACATAAGATATAAATAAAAAAAAATTCTTATTTTTTAAAAATTAAGGTGCTTGTTTTGGAAAGATGCAATAAAGGGGAGTTTACTAAACAATAATAGCAATAAATAACAATAGACAATAGCAGTAGCAGCAACAATAAACTGCCGCTGGAACTGGTGTAAGCAAAACCACCACTAAAAAACACTGGGAGGTTTCCCCAGGTCTGAGATGTAAAACAAAATGACAAATAAGATAAAACACTGGAAGGGAAACAAGAAAAATATCCAGGATTCTATAATCAATTTACTCACCATCAAACATGACAAATCAACAACAAATATAAATGTTTAGAAACAAAACAACAAACAATATATTTGAATAACTGATGAACAAATTTTTGGAAGAGATAAACCCAAGTAGGGAAAAATTTCAACAGCAATTTTTTCCTCTACAAAGTGACCTCCTCAAAAAGCCTATCTTAGAAACAAATGAATGTAACCTGAAAATGTACTTACAAGCCTGTGGATTCTGAAAAGCCACAGCTTTGTCAATCCTTAGCTGAGACTGAAGGTCAGCTACTTCCCACTGACGAAATTCTGGTGCTGTGGTGACGTTGAGCAGGAACTCCATTAGAATATCACTATAGAAGACATCAATATAAGAGTCAGAAGTCAAAAATTGAAAACCAGCATTCGAGATTCTACATCACTGTAATGCTCACTAAACATTAGGCCTTGTGGATAGCACAGTGTTAGGAGCGCAAACTTCATAAATGATAATCTGAAACCAAAGTCAGAGGTCATAATGACACACTACAAAGACTAGAACTGAGCAGCTTAGTATTTTGTTAATAGATGTCCTAAACACACGCAAGTACTTACACATCGTCCCGCAGGCATTCCACAACGTAAGCCATGTTTTCCCTTGTTGCAGTCACACTGAATCAGAAATGAGTGACAGTGAATTATGAGTCAGAAGAGTAAGTTTTCCCTTATATCTTCATTGTTAAATCAACCAATTCTTTTGGAAAGAAAATTTTTGAAATATAAAGAAGTGCAAATAATCATATAACAAAATCCCACACACTTATCAACTAAAATTTGAAAACAATAAAAAATATTTAAAAAAATAGTAAATAATTCAGCCTTAAAAATGAATGAAGTTCTGATATGTTACAATACAGATAAACCTTGAGGACATTATGCTGAGTGAAATAAGCCAGTCACAAAAGGGCAAATTGTATGATTCCACTTACATGAGGTGTCTTGAGTAGTCAAAATCATAGAGATAGAAGACAGAATGGTGGTTGCCAGGGCTGGGGGGTGGGGGAATGGGGAGTCATCCTTTAATGGGTACAGAGTTTCCACTGGTGAAGATGAAAAAGTTCTGGAGATGCATGGTGGTGATGGTGGTTGCTAAATGCCACTTAATGCCACAGAACTGTACACTTAAAAATTGTAAATTTTAGGGGCTGGCCCATGGCTCACTTGGAAGAGTGTGGTGCTGATAACACCAAGGCCACAGGTTTGGATCCCTATATAGGGATGGCCAGTTCGCTCACTTGGGAGAGCGTGGTGCTGACAAAACCAAGTCAAGGGTTAAGATCTTCTTACTGGTCATCTTTTTAGAAAAAAAAAAATTTTTATTTTGTGACCAGTAAGGGGATCGCAACCCTTGGCTTGGTGTCGCCCGCACTGCGCTCAGCCAGGGAGCGCACCGGCCATCATCCCTATATAGGATCTGATTTGTGACCAGTAAGGGGATCGCAACCCTTGGCTTGGTGTCGCCTGCACTGCGCTCAGCCAGGGAGCGCACCGGCCATCATCCCTATATAGGATCTGTACCCACGGCCTTAGCGCTCCCAGTGAGCCACGGGGTCGGCCCCTAGTCATCTTTTAAAAAAATAAATAGTAAATTTTATGTTATGTATGTTTTACCACAATTCTCAAAAAATGGCAAATAAAGCTGAAGATCTCTCTGTACCCTTCCCAGGCCAATTCTCTCACTCTCTCCCACTCTAGAGACAACTACAATCATAAGCCCTCTGCTGTATTATTTTGCTTGAAAAATTGCATCGTACCTTTAAAAAATTGTGAAACATGTTTTTTATGCATATTTTAAGTTCTGCCATGCTGACATATAAATCTAGTTCACTCCATAATTGCCGTGTAATAATCCCATCATATGACTACATACTTTATTTATCCATTTCCCTATAGATGGACATTTAGTTTCTAGTCTTTACAAAGATGAAGAATATCTTTGTGCATGTGGATTAAGAACCGCTGGGTTTTTCAATATTACTAGAAATTCCCTGATTCTCTTCTAAGTGGTTGTATCAATTTATACTTCCACCAATAGGGTAAGAGATTCTCTATCTTTCCTATCACTGTCAACACATGATATGTAAAAAATCTGATGGGTGTGAAATGGTATCACACCACTGAGTACAAGTAAACACTGGTGTCTGTGGCTTCCTCTCTGGGAACAGCTTGTTCCTATCCTTTGGCCATCCATTTTCTCATTAGTTGTTTTCTTCCCGATTTGTGGTTCTTTATTTTTCCAAATAGTAATTCTCTGTGTGTTATGTATATTGCAAATATCTACTCTCATCAGTTACTTAAATCTTTACTGTAAGGCATACGGATGTTTTAAATTTTGATGTAGTCAAATTCATCAGGCTTTTCTTTCTTCTGCTCTGTTTAAGAAATCCTCAACTTGATAACAGACAGAAGTTCCCTTACAATTGAATATTTTCTGGCATTTTCACTATTTATTTCCTATTACTTCTTTAACAAACCTTAATTTACCACCAACTGCTTCAATTCCACGGGTTATCTTGAAAGACGAAGCTCCTTTTGTAGTCTTGAAAAAAAAAAAAGGACTTTCTTCAGTTTTTCAATGCCAAGTTGTCAAATATCACACTATATCAAAATCTATTGTCTGTCAGATTTAAAAGGAATTTTACCAAACAGTGATCCTTTTTAGTTAAGAATTATAAAACAAGGTTCAACCAAAAGCACAAGTATAGGTTTTTATATAAAGTAAATTTATGTAAAAATTCTATTTATCAAATCAAGCTAACCGGGTTTATTGGTCTATTCTGAAAGAGACTCGCGTATGGGAAAGAAAAGTGATTTTATTTTGATTTTTGGCATTTAAAAAAAAATGTTTTCTGATTTCTTATGCTTTAGCCCAACATTCAGATGGACATTAATTTAATGCTTCTCTATGGCAAATATCCCGTGGTTTCTCATTTTATATTAGGGGACTGCACAGGGTTGAACAGCGTCCCCCCAATGTTCATGTCCAGCCAGAACCTGTGGAAGTAGGGTCTTTGCAGATTTAAGTAGATCTAAAATCCAATATGACTGGTGTGCTTATAAGATAGGAACTTGACAGAGAGACACAGATAGAAGGCAGGCCATGTGACAACTGAGGCAGAGACTGGAGTGATGCAGCTGCAAGCCAAGGAATGCAAAGGACTGCTGGCAATGACCGGGAGCTAGGATGTAGCCAGGAAAGATTCTTCCCTGGAGACTGTAGAGGGGGCACGGCCCTGCTGACACCTTGACTTGACTTAGACTCCTGATTTTGACTTCTAGCCTCTAGAACTGAGAGAGGATAATTTTTTTTTTTGTCTGTTTAAGCCATCCAGTATGTGGTAATGTCATGGCAGCTCAAGGAAACTAATACAGGGACACTTTTCTTTTTCACAGGACCAGAATACCACAGCATTTCCAACACTGAGGTAGTAAAGATACTTACCAAACTGGATGCAAGACGCAGCAAATGAGAGGTTCCTAAGTTGTTGCAGTCTTCATATCTACTGCCCGCTTTAATGAACAAACCAATTCTTGATGCAGGAGCATAGTTTTCCAGAGAAGCAATCACTAAACCATTTGGTAATTTGGTAAACTGCATTTAAAATAGAGATGTAATTAATGTCTTTATATGACCAAGGACACTAGGGCATGTGTGGGTTCCAGCAAGCATCTCAGTGGGACTAACCTCGAGGTCCTGAGGATGCAGAGGCACTCCTGCCGGGGCAGCTGTGGCTTTCACTTTGGGGGCAACTTTGAGGGAATAAAATCTCTAAACACACAAAAAACAGGTTACACAGGTTTCTCACAAGAACAGTTCACTGTATATAAGTGGTTTATCTTAGTGTACCCAGGCGACAGAGGGGGTTAGGGGTAAAATGAGCAATAACCATCTCAATGGAAGGTTTTAGCTGAATAACTTATTACAAACTTTTTAACCCACCAGTTTATCCAAGCCATTCACAAACCTCTATTTATTTGTGATTTATAGGGAACAGAGTTCTCTGTGTTCACTTTTTCTATGTAAAGAATCATTGGATTTTCTTTTACCTTTTAACTATCTTATTAAAGTTTCAAGCGGTTCTTTTTAGCTGTAATGCTTTGGCATTTTCTGAAAAAGCGTATTGCCACATCCATACCCTGTTATAGATTTCAGCACTACTGTTTCCCTTACTGCCTGATGAGTCTCACCTGTTTATTCTATTTTCCAAGAAAAATGACTACACCTCCTTAATTATTTTAGTGTCCTTTAAAAAAGGCTTCTTCTGAGCCTCCAACTTCCCCATTATTTCTTCAATCTCTCATGTGCCACACGAAGACCACACAACCAAGGGTCTTACTTTCTTTGACTAAATAAAAACTGAAAAAGGCTTCTTCTGAGCCTCCAACTTCCCCATTATTTCTTCAATCTCTCATGTGCCACACTAAGACCACACAACCAAGGGTCTTACTTTCTTTGACTAAATAAAAACTTATATTATCCTGAGATTAAGAACAGATTCTGAATATATAATATGCAGTTGCTGGTAGAGTAAAAGGATCTTCTTAAATGTCAGATAATGGATCCAAAATGCATTCAATGTATTCAGTTTTTGGGGCAAATAATATATAGTGCCAAAAAATTCATTCTGATTATGACTAATGTTCATGACATTACTAGTGGAGACGCTGAATAAATAAAATTTAGTGCTCCCAAGATCTAACAAACAAGTTTCTGGAGCTTCCCAAGTATGCTCAACAGAAGCTTCAATGCCCCTACTCTATGCTGTCCAGAAGGCTGTTTGTTGTATGTTCTGCATCAGTGCTGTACTAAGTTGGCTGCTGGTTGTCATTTGCTCTTAGTATTGCTTTTAAATTATAAACTACACTGCTGGCCGGTTAGCTCAGTTCACCAGAGCAAAGCGTTATAACACCAAGATCACCAGTTCAGATCCCCATCCAAAAAAAAAAAAGTAAATTATAAATTATAATTAGCTTTGCTTTATCATCATCAATTAAGTTTGATGGGTATGGTTAACCCTACTTGTGATTTTGGCTTCTGATTTTCCAAAAAGTAAATTTTAAGATATATGGACATAGTGGTTCAAATATGAACAATCCAAAATTCCATTGCCAAGGGAGACTTAGGTGCTTTACACTCAAATGTGCCTGAACAGTGACACTCTGTTGGTTGGTTATGTGCTTATTTCTTCCATTCAAATCAGAAAAGAATTACCCTCGTAATTGTCATAAAACTACTAGATTATTTTGTTTTAGTAACGAATTATGTATACATTTATTCTCATGAAAAGGCCAATAATTAGAAACAAATAATTGCTCTCAAGTTTACTGCTATTTGTTTACTTTGGTCCTCTCCAACTGTTACCTTTGAGCTCTTTTTCTACCGAAAAATGAAATAGAGATTTTTGAGGTCTTTTACCAGTCTGTCTTTGGTTAGGGTTTCTCAACTCAGGTACTACTGGCGTTACTGGGCTGGATAATTCTTTGTTGTAGGGGGCTGTTTTTCTGCACCGTAGGGTATTTAGGGCACCTTTGGCTTCTGGATGCTAGTATAAATGCTAGTAGCACCCTCCCCACAAATTGTTATAATCAAAAATGTTCCCAGACATTGTTTAACCGTTCCCTAGGGGCATATTGTCCTTCGCTGAAACTTCGAAAAAAGGGTTACCCTTCCCCTCTTGATTACCACTGCTCCACAGTGCTTTAACAATGACACTTGAAGAGTCTTCCCCGAGTGACCGCTACGTTTAATTCGGGCTTGAAGGGGGAGCCTTAATTAAGCAGCTTTTAAGGATAGTTGAAGAGCACGTCCTGAAGGAATCCTCTAACAAGAGATCAACAACAGCACGTCTTACACTGCCAGCACGCCCTGATCATCAGCAGTGAAGGTGCAGACTCTGTGACAGGCGCTATACCTGTATTAGCTCATTTCTTACACTTTTACTCGTAAGCCTACTTAACCGCTGTGGAAATGTACGCTCCGTGTACACCAAGGCGAAGAGGCCGCGGCTGACGGGAGGTCCGCGCCGCCCCCGCCGCGGGGTCCAGCGGTCTTCCTGTCCGGCCGCAGGTGCAGAAGCGGGAGTGACCTTCACGAGTCTCTCCACCGAGTCGCAGCGGATCGGCTCTCAAGCCCCCCCCCCCCCTCCAGGTTTTCCGGCGTTGCGTCTCTTCTGCTCACAGCACGAGCTGGGGCCCGCAGCCCACCTGGCCCTCAGGGTACAGCTGAAGGACAGATCGAAGCTGGCGGCCCCGTGCCCCAACCAGGCCCCTCCGGTCCGAATCGCCTTGCTGAAAAACTGCTCTTCAGCCCTACCCTAAGCCTCTCAAGCCCCCCCCCACTCCAGGTTTTCCGGCGTTGCGTCTCTTCTGCTCACAGCACGAGCTGGGGCCCGCAGCCCACCTGGCCCTCAGGGTACAGCTGAAGGACAGATCGAAGCTGGCGGCCCCGTGCCCCAACCAGGCCCCTCCGGTCCGAATCGCCTTGCTGAAAAACTGCTCTTCAGCCCTACCCTAAGCCCGCTGGCTGTGCTCACCAAGAAGGAACCGCCTCTGGTTAGCAGCTTCATGGCTGGAGATTGCTCTGACCCACGGTCACTCCCAGCTTAGAAATAAGCAAGATGGTGGCAAAGGACAAGAGTTTCCCAGCCCTCCCCGCGAACACGCTTCCCACGCCCCCTTCGCGAGGGACCGCTCTATATGGACCGCGCTCTACTGCTCCCGGGAGGTTTGGCCGGTCCAATTCTTCCGAGATGCGGAATGTGGAGGCGCATAGTTTCGTAAGTAAACGTACAAAGATAATTTAGGTTGCCGCTTTTGGGTTTTTTCCCCCTATCTGACTATCCACTCTGTAATCCTTTTTAAGTGCGTCTCGCAACCTGCCCTAGCGCCCCCTCCACTTTGGGCTCTTCCAGCCTGGTCTGTCCCAGGATTCCGCGGGCGCGATGCGGGCCACGCCCCCGTAGCCATAGACTTCCGGTCTCCAGACATGGGCGGGACGGGGGCTCCCGACCGGTATTCTGTTCGCGGAGGTGTGGGGGCTTCGAAACCTGGCGTGGTCACCTTGTCCGGTCGCTAGCTTCTGAGAGCAGTGGCCTCGTCTGGAGCGTCTCCGCAGAATCCCGGAACGGGCCGGAGACACGCCTGGTTGAGTCCCGAGCGAGGTCTCTGCTCTCACGGAGTTATGTCCTGCGCCGGGGCGAGGTAGAGAGTAAAAACTTAACTGTAGTTCGCGTGCGAGGAAACAAAAATGTCTTCAGCAGTAGGAGTGTCGGGGGACAGACACAGACAGACACGGGTTCGAGACCTGCACATTGAACAGGGCGGCCGTGGGGTCGTCTGGGGAGGAGTGCACTCCGCTCCCCGCTCCCCCACGGGCTTTGACCGGGAGGCTCATGCCCAGCTCCGCGCCGGGGACTCGCGGGCTCGTACGTGCTGCGCTGCGTGGTTGGGAAGCCGACGGTATCATGTGGGCCTGTGTTAGAAACGCAGGATCTCCAGGTCCCATGCCGGATCCGAGTCTGTGTAGTCACATACCCTGAGGTGACTTTACGCACGCCACAGGCTCAGAGGGGCTGCTGCTGCAGGTGTTCCAGCACACTGAGGTCCTCCACGCCGGCACCGTCTCCCGCTGGCTCACAGCCATCTAAGGTCCGCTCGTTGAGAACCTGGCGCCAGCCCAATTTCTTTGCCTTCAGGGGGCACCCCCAACCCAGTTAACATTTAGTACAGTCTCCCTACATGCGGTAGGCTTGCACTAGTGCTGCGTGAGATGATTTTAAGTTGGTACACGAATGAATACTGTTCCATTTTAATAGTTACGTATTTATTTTGATTATGGCAAGCAATGCTAGTGAGTTTTCTCTTTAAATATAAAGGAATAAAAATCAATTTAAAAAATGTTAAGTAACTATTGATATGGAGATATGGCAGAAATCAAGAATGTGTTATACCAGTGAGTGAAGTTTAGGAAGCACTGCTCTCTGATCGTCACCTGCCTTTTTAAAATTCTTCAGTAACTTACCCATGTTTTTCAGGATAAAGCTCAAATTTATTAAAATGGCATACAAAGCTCTCTCTCCAGTATTTTTAAGTCACTACCCTCAAATTAGGTGCAACCCTGAAGAGTCCTGTCATTGGAATTTCGTTGTCCAACAATCGGTCAGGTGAGAAGGGCACACGTCCCTGCACTCCTGCACAGGCACAGACACACAGAAACCCCTGTTTAGAATGTCCCCTTATTCTTAGGTCATATAACACCATCCACACATTACATGAAAACAGCTGTGACCCAAATATCTTAAAGGTGGAAAAATTCTCTTCAAAATGTGGTAGGATCTGAAACATAATTCACGATAGTAGGCACATTTCAACATTGCAAAATTTCCTATTAAGCTTTAAACTACAAAGTAGGAGTGCCACCTTGTGGAGTGATCTGCCACTTCCACATCATATCCTGCCCTACCCACCTCCATGACTGCTGCTCATGTGGAGGTTTGCCACAATTGCATTTAATTGCAGAATAGAGTCCTTGAAATTGTTCCTGTACAGGAGACGTTGAAAGCCCTGGGAAAGGAAACAGGCATACGGGAAGAGAGTAGACATGGAAGACAAGATTGCTGGAATTGCTCTAATTGTTTTCTTAATGTGGAGTCCAATCTGACTCCACAGAGCCCAACTCCCTACCCTGACCTGGGGTGGGGTGGGAGGTTGGATGTGTGCTCCTGGGGATTGGAGAAAGGTAAAAGGGAAGGAGGCTACAGTAAGGGCAAAATAGACCAAAGGAAAGTGGTTTGAGTTTATACTTGGGAACAACATCTTGCCATGTTAGAGCCAGAGGAATTAATCATGGCTCTTAATTATTGAGTTTATACTTGGGAACAACATCTTGCCATGTTAGAGCCAGAGGAATTAATCATGGCTCCTAATTAATAATTTTTTTTTTTTTGTCTTTTGTCTTTTTCCGTGTCCGGCAATGGATCGCAACCCTCAGTGTTGCCCCCGTACCGGACCGGGGACCAGCAACGGGATCGCAACCCTGGGCATTGCTCCCGCGCCTCGCTCAGCCAGTGAGCGGGAACCGGTCTGTATGTGGGATCCGACCCCTCGGGCGGGAGCGCCGCCACGCTTCCCAAGCGGCGCACTATCCAGTGCGCCACCGGGCTGGCCCCTAATTAATAATTTTGACTGGCATTTCCTTCCCCACTCCTCTCAGAACCCTATCCAGTTAAATACTCTCTGATGAAATCTTCTCTGGACACCTTAGCTTGGACTTTTTGTCTCCCTTCTCTGAACTTCACTGCCTTGTGTTGATAATTACTTTGCATTCATATTTTATCTTCCTTAACTAGATTAAAGAAAAAACACTATTGGCACTTAAAGACATAAACAGAAGTTGAAAGGCTAGTATAATGAACTCCTGTTTACCTACTACCCAGTTTTAACCACAATGACATTTTTTCCTTTCTTTGATTTTAAGCTCCTGGATGGAGAAAACTGACTCAAATGTTTAAGATGACTTCAGTCGTAATTGCGAGTACATGGTTATTTATTTATTTATTTTTTGGTCTTTTTTTTCCGTGTCCGGCAACGGATCGCAACCCTCAGTGTCGCCCCCGTACCGGACCGGGACCGGCAACGGGATCGCAACCCTCGGTGTTGCTCCCGCGCCTCGCTCAGCCAGTGAGTGGGAACCGGTCTGTATGTGGGATCCAAACCCTCGGGCGGGAGCGCCACCGCGCTTCCCAAGCGACGCACTATCCAGTGCGCCGCCGGGCCGGCCCCTACATGGTTATTTTTGACACCTCACTTAAGTAGTCAACAACTGAAGTCAAAGCTGCTATGGTTAATGTTTATTCCCTCATTTTCTCCTATTAAACAGAAATACATCCATTTTGTCTTAAAACTCTGCTTTCACTTTCAGTTTTTTCTTAGTTGTATGTACGATCTAAGTAAGTTTGATATTCATTTACTGGATGTCAGATATGAAGGAGAGAATCCAGTTGAGATCACTTGTGTCATAAGATTGCAAACACAAAAGAAATTTAAAGAAGAGTGATGAATAATGAACAGAGCCTAAGGGACTGAAGAGGAAGACGTGTTCTGAAGCATTTGCTCCAGGCCCTAAATGTTAACATCCAGCTCTGCAGTTGGCTTGTGAGATTCCATCAAGCAGATCAACATATGCATTGTGGGAATCTTATCAGGAGAAGAGAGATAGAAAGGGACAGAAAGAATATTTGAGAAAACAATGCCTAAAAACATTCCAAATTGGATGCAAGAAAGGAATCTCCAAATCAAAGAAACACAGCAAACCTCAAGTAGGATCAATTCAGTAATACTCATATTGTGACATGCTACAGTCAAAATATTAAAAGAGAATCTGAAAAGTGTCAAGAGAGAAATGACTCCTCATATACAATGAATCCTCAAGATTACCAGCCATTTTCTCAACAGAAGCCAGTGGGTGGACATATTCAAAATGCTTAAAGAAAAAAAAAATACTGCTGCTTGAAATTTTATATCCAGCAAAACTATCTTATTTCATGAATGAGGGGGAAAATATTTCTAGTTTTTTTTAAGGCTAAAGGAATTTATGATTATCAGACCTCCTGTGCAAGAAATGCTAAAGGGAGTCATTCAGGTTGAAATAAAAAGATAGACAGTAATTTGAATCCATGTAAAGATACGAAGGTAAAGGTAAATACATGGCCAATTGCAAAGGTGATTTTGGTTTGTGATTTTGGTTTGTAAACAACTTTCTATTTTCTACAGGACTTAAGAGACAAATGTGTAAAAACAATTATCAATCTCTATTATTGGGCACCCAATGTATAATGGTGCAAGCTATGACATCAATAACGGATAGTGGGGATAGAGCTGTATAGGAGCAGAGTTTTTGTAAGCTATTGAAGTGAAGTTGGTATCAATTAAAATTAGATTGTTATAACTTTAAGATGTTAAATGTAAGCCCTATGGTAACCACCAAAAAATTTATAGAATATACGCCTAAGAAAATGAGAAAAGAGTAATATGCTTTACAACAAAGAAATCAAACACAAAACAAGGCAATAATGGAGCAATGAGGAAGAAAAAAGCTATTAGGTATTTAGAAAACAAGAGTGGCAAAATAAGTTCTTTCTTACCTGTAATTACTTTAAGTGTAAATGGATGAAACAGTCCAATCTAAAGATATTGATTAAGAGAAGACTCAAATAACAAAAATTAGAAGTGAAAAAGGTGATATTACAACTGATACCTCAGAAATACAAGAAATCTTTATAGACTACTATAAACAACTATAATGCCAACAAATTTCAAAATCTGGAGGAAACGGACAATTTTCTGGACACACACAAACTACCAAAACGGAGCCAAGAAGATATAGAAAATCTGAACAGACCAATAACAATAAAGGAGATGGAAGCTGTTATCAGAAGGCTCCCAACAAGGAAAAGCCCAGGGCTGGATGGATTCACTGCAGAGTTCTACCAAACCCTCAAAGAGGAATTGATACCAATTCTCTACAAACTATTCCAAAAGATTGAAACAGAGACCATTCTCCCAAACTTAATCTATAAAGCCAACATCACCCTGATACCAAAACCAGACAAAGATACAACAAAAAAAGAAAACTATAGGCCAAGATCCTTGATGAG